AGTGACAAAATAGTATCCTTCTACAATTACATTACCAGCGTCTTTTTCGTGTTTCAAATCATACTCAATTACAAGTTGTCCATTTATTCCTTTTGACGACACTGTTGTTTGTTCTTTTTTTGTTGGTTGATAAAGAACACTGTTTACTGTTGGATTTGAAACCGATGACAACAAAACAGATTTCTCTGAGTGTGGAACAGAATATGAGAACGTCTCGAATCCTTGGCTTTCCAACACAATCGCATTAACGGCTAATGTGTCAACCACCTGACCGGGATACACAAATATTTTTTGAGTGTAAAGTCCTAGTCGACGTTCTAAAAGTTCATTATATGTCAATGAAAGTGTCGTCTCTCCTCCAGCTTCTAGTGTTATATCTATTTCAAAAATGTTTATACCCCGTTCTGTATTCGTCTCTGAAAATTTGACTTCGACATTTAATTGAGTTTCTGTTCTGTTTTCTTTATTTTCCCCTATCTTTTCATTTGCAACGATTTTCCCCACATATTCCGATCCATTAATGAATATACTAAACTTTGATATGAACGCCGCCTCTGGAACATGAACTGGTAACGTTGAGTTGACAGAATATGGTTGCTCGTTTTGCAGGCGACTCTGGATATTGACTGTTGAGAACCGTTCAGTTACTGACGACGCTATCGTATAACTCTTCATTGTCAGCCCCGCATCGTTGTCATCTCTTTTGAATCTGTCGATCGATTCTCTATCATCTACAGATTGTCCCAGTTGCAGAACACTTAGAATAAGTATGACTCTTACGATGTTATCCATGTTGAAGTATACTACTCGCATGAATGCAAATTATGAAATTTATGCTTTTATATTTCGCATAAGGAACCTTAAACGTTGCAATAAACAATTTTCGTACAAGGAAGATAGATGCATATATTCATTGCTGTATTCATAAAAATTAGTACGCTGTATTAGATGTCATATTTTGATACAGATCAACCTTTTTTTCAATGACTGATATCTTTTATCTTATTATACAAGATAACTTGCCAGGTAAGGTAATATACGCCCACTTACAGCTCTGATTTTCAATTAAAATATTTGGCAGTACAGTAACAATCACTAGAATATAAATATTAAACCATCAGTCATACACTTGTTTTGAACTTTTTGGAGATACTGAATTATATTACTAGGCTTTGTCAAAATCCGGCAAGCATCGTGCCTTATTAAGTATTTACTAGTTAAAATTGAATGTTTTTCCAAGAACAAGGGCAATCACTTTTTTTTTTAATGCTGTTCATCCATGGGTAATAAAAACAATTTCACCAAATTTTGTCAAAATCCGTCGGGAATTGTGCCTTTGTGGAGCTAAAAATTGATCGGGTTTTCAAGAAAAAGGGCAATAACTCATACTAAATATTTTTCGATTTTTCTGATTTTCAGTAGGGTTCATCCTTGGGTGATTACAAACAATCATACTATGTTTCATCAAAATCAGTCAAGAATTGTGCGTTCTATAGTG